GTTGTGACTCAACCTTTGACGAGTGAACCTCGGAGATCAGGCAGGATTTGCCAAGAGCCAGCGAGATATGGATTTCTCGTGACTGGGAATGAGGAACTTATGTTATTAGAACATGACGAGCCTACCACATACCCAGAGGCTATGGCGAGTCCCGACTCTGAGAAATGGCGCGAGGCTATGAAGTCCGAGATGCAATCCATGTCGGACAACCAAGTATGGACTCTGGTTGATGCGTCTGAAGGGATAAAACCCATCGGATGTAAGTGGATCTTCAAGAAGAAGACCGACATGGATGGCAACGTGCACACGTATAAGGCATGACTTGTGGCGAAAGGATTCCGTCAGATTCATGGTATTGACTATGATGAGACCTTTTCGCCCGTAGTTATGCTGAAGTCCATCAGGATCCTACTTGCCATAGCCGCATATTACGACTATGAGATATGGCAAATGGATGTCAAGACCGCGTTCCTTAACGGGAACTTGACCGAGGATGTGTACATGACACAACCCGAAGGTTTTGTCGATCCAAGGAACCCGAGGATGGTGTGAAGCAGGCTTCGAGGAGCTGAAACCTTCGTTTGATGAGACAATCAAAAAGTTTGGTTTCTCACAGAACGAAGACGAGCCATGTGTTTACAAGAAGACTAGTGGGAGCACAGTTGTATTTCTAGTGCTGTACGTGGATGACATTCTCCTTATAGGGAATGACGTTCCTACCTTGGAAGACGTTAAGTCTTGGCTAGGAACACAGTTTTCTATGAAGGACCTAGGAGAAGCGGCCTATATTTTAGGCATCAAGATCTATAGAGATAGATCGAGGCGTCTTCTAGGATTGTGTCAGAGTACTTACATCGATAAGGTCTTGAAACGGTTCAAGATGCAAGATTCCAAGAAAGGAACCTTACCGATGAGCAGTGGCACAGTTCTCTGCAAGAGTCAGTGTCCTACGACAACTGATGAGCGAGAACGCATGGATCGGATTCCATATGCTTCGGCAATTGGATCCATCATGTATGCCATGCTTTGTACTCGACCGGATGTATCCTACGCGTTGAGCATTACGAGTAGATATCAGTCAGATCCAGGTGAGTCACACTGGATCGCCGTCAATAACATCTTGAAGTACTTGAGAAGGACTAAGGATGTATTCTTGGTATACGGTGGGTCGGAAGACGAGCTCGCTGTAAGAGGTTACACCGATGCTAGTTTTCAGTCAGACCCGGATGACTACAGATCGCAGTCTGGCTATGTTTTCTGCTTGAACGGAGACGCTGTTAGCTGGAAGAGTTCCAAGCAGGCGACCATTGCAGATTCTACTACAGAAGTTGAGTATATTGCAGCGTCGGACGCATCAAAGGAAGCTGTTTGGATCAGGAAGTTTGTTGGTGACTTGGGTGTCATTCCTAGTGCTCATAGCCCCATTGCTCTGTATTGTGACAACAATGGAGCGGTCGCACTAGCGAAAGAACCCATATCCCATCAACGATCCAAACACATACTCAGACGGTTTCACCTTATCAGGGAGATCATAGACCGAGGAGTCGTGCATATTTGCAGGGTGTCGACAGATGACAACATTGCTGATCCGTTGACGGAGCCTCTCCCTTCGTCAAAGCATGAGGGTCATGTTAGGGATATGGGCATTAGAGTTTTAGCAGTTCATGATTAGAGCAAGTGGGAGATTGTTGGTTTAGTGCTCTATGATGTACTGTTTATGAGCTTTATTTAGATATATTTGATGTATTGATACTTTCTATGGTTTATGAGAGTATTTGATTCATTACATGTTCTTGCATACTAGATGTGTTATGAAATCCATGTATCATTATGGATGATACTTAACTCCCTAGTCTTGTGTCATTATGGGAATGATGACATAATAAGACTAGTATGATGTGTGATTGATGATCATATAGATAATCATAAGTATTTGGATACGATCACAGTCATAGGTATTCGTTGGAGAACGGAATACTGGATTGACCCGCATGAGATTGTCACATGGACTAGCGTCATGACTGGAATCTCAAAATGCGGTTCCATGATTGGATCCTAAGACCTGAGATATCTACGGAATCCAACATGAGGAGTTACGTGCTTTGATCACGTCAAACGTCCTGCGTAACAGGAGGACTATAAAGACGTGTATCAGGTACGAAACGAATCATGTGCCGGATTGTAGATAGTCAAGACGGGATTTATACCTCTCGTAAAAGAGAGAGATATCGATGGGCCCCTCGTGTGAGCGAGACTGTAGAAATGTGTGGCCGCACTATAGACGAAAGTCGTCTATTTTAGACAGTCGAACTCA